AGAGTATAAAAAGTAAAAAAAAATATTTACTATAGGCACACTTGAGACATGTTACAATAATACTACATGTAATGAGTTTGGCACAAGTCGTAGACAGACAAATAATTTTGAGGTTTGGTGTGTCTCTTGTTCCGTGCAAGGTCAAAGATCACATACATGTCAGCTCACAAATTAAACGTCATTCCTACAGAATCTGTCTCTCTCATACAAGTTACGATGAAGCATTAAACACACTCTCCATGATATGTTAACTAGGATTAATTAGCCAGAAAATTATGAACAGAAAAACAAGAGATTGAGAAAGAAAATACAGATAAGAGAAGGAAAATACCTGGCTAATGTAGCATTGTTTGTTATGAGGTGCACCCAGCGGTTGCGTACGTACGCAATGGAGTGTTGTTGTGAAGTGAATAAAGGGCTTATATATAGTATTTATATATTTACAACCCATTCCCTCACCATTAATTCCCTCACATGTCTGCATGCATGTGGGACTCCTCATTGCTCATATATATATATATTCGATCCCAAGCCAACATGGCCAGCAAAATCCAAACTCACTTATGGAAAACATGGATCCTTTATATATCATATCACACACTGTTCTTTCTCTCTAATTCTCTTTTTATATACAAAATTTTACTATGAGTTGGTTTTAAGTACTACAGGTAGGATTAGTACAAACTTTAAAGTTCAAAAAATGGTTACAAATTGGGAATCAAATTTATGTTTTTATAAGATATGAGTTTAATTGTTATTAATTCAATAATATTTTATACCTAAATAAATAAATAAATAATTCGTCCACTTCACTAGTACAAAAGAGGTATTTCACGTCGGTTATTTTGAGCTTTTTACGTCGAAAAAGTAACCGACGTTGAAACGGGAGACATAAATTTACGTCGGCATTATAAGGTCCGGCGTAAATTTACGTCAGCATTGTAAGGTCCGATGTAAAAAAGAAACAAAAAAATTAATAAAAAAAATTAACGAGTGCAAGCAGAACGGCCTGTTCTGCAAGGAGAACGGGCCGTTCTGCCCGTTCCAGATGCAGAAGAAATGAGAGGATGCAGATCGAGCCAGCTCCACGCCAACATGCTACTGACGTTTAGGTATGCGGGTAGGTTGGTTCTCTCCATCTATGAAATCGCATTTGACTCACCACCAACAAATTTAAAATAATAATATTAAAAAAAAATGAAGAAAAGAACGTGAAGATGGAAACAGGAAAAGGAAATGAAAAATACATAAAAAAGGGAAAAGAAAATGTACTGTTCTCACAAACGTAGCTACCAGAGCTCTAAAAGGCGCAGATCTGAAATTTTTTCGAAGGCTTCAGCGAGAGAACCAACCTAGCTACCAGCTTAGCATGTTATTTAAAGAAGGTGAAACCTTTTTTACATCAGGTATAATAAAGTCCGACATAAAATGTAAAATTTACATTAAGTAGTTCCAACGTAGATTTTACATTTTACGTCAGACCTTATTAAGTCCGACGTAAAAAAGGTTCACAAAATTATAAAAATGTCACCGCGTCTTTTTTACGTCGTATTTTGTTTTGACCGACGAGAAAATAGTGATGTAAAAGACCATTTTTCTACTAGTGCTTTTTTGTGTGCAACTAATATAAACTGCTTAACCACACATGATATATGTTACAACTAATCACATCCAAACTAAATATCTTCTGAAATTTGATGCCCATGCATAACTAATTAACTACCGAGCATGCACATATCTATTGTAGTCATTTAAGAAAACAAACACTTTTATAGAAAAACAAAAAAAAAAATATTATAACAGAAGAACCTTTATTTTTTGCTTTTTTGTAAAGTTATTTTTCAGTTAAAAAATCTTTACTATACATATTAAAAAAAATCTTTAAATTTTTTACAAAATTGATCTTTATGATTTCATAAACTTTACTTTTTTTTTTTAACATAAATAAACTTTATCTTTTAGTTTTTATAATTAAAAAATATTTTTAATTTTTATACATATATTTTTTTTCCTTTTATTCTATAATCTCATAATATTTACCTTTTAATTTTTAGAATTGCATACACTTTCTTTTTTAGTAGCATAAACATTTTATTTTAATCTTTATAAAAATAGACGATAGGAATTAAAATAGAACAAAAATAAGTATCTATAGAAACTGAAGTGGAATGTTTTAATTATAGAGATAAAAAATTAAAATTTATGAAATTATGAAGAAAAAAAATGTAAACTTAAAAAAAATTATAACAAAAATATATTTCCCTCGCATCCTTCTTACTAATATTTTATTTTATTTTATATTTATTATGAAATAAATTTTTGGCCATTAACATATTTTTCTAGCTAGAGAAGTGAGAAGGAGAGCTGAGATTATAATCTTGTCATAGTTGATGCAAAGAAGAGGAGAAAGCATGTATGTAGGAGTGAGCGAGTGAGTCTCACATTTTTATTTATTTTACTTTTTTGCAAGTGCAGAAAAACATCAACTAAATACCATGAAAAAGGACTTAAATTGTCATTGTAATAATGGATTAAAGATGAAATTGCATGATTCACAGTCAGAAATGTAATAGATTAATAACTATTTATAAAATCAATTAAATTAATATTCATTAATTTGCTGGTATTATATTAATCAATTTTCTATATAGCATAATCAATTAAATACATATATCATCACTATTGTCCATTACATAAGGGCAGAATAATATATATAACTTTTTTCTTCTCATTTCATTGAAACTAAACAACTTAATAATATCATTTCTCTTTAAATTTTCTAAACCCAAACAACCAAATTCCAAAAGTTGTCTCTTATTTCTCATCTTGGTTCTCTGCCCTATTTTCACCTGTTCGGCTGTTCGTACATCAATTGACTGACAAGTGAATTTTGTGACACTTACTTCTCTCTCTTGTTATGCCATCCAGCAATAAAAAGGACCCAAACCCACATTTTTATTCCCTTCTCTCTTTTTCGTTCTTTTTTAAAGGTAATACCGTAATACTAATTCTTTTCTTTCCTAGTATTTAATTTCTTATTTTATATATTATTTTTTAATCGACAAATAGGAAACAAGAATTTGGTTCCCCCAAACACACACCCCAATCAGCAAATTGGAAAATTTTCTGACTAAATAATAAAATAAATTGAGAGGGAAAAAATTCATCTGCATCTACCTAATTTTGGGCGAATTACGGTGAAAAAAATAGATAAATAAAAAGATAAAAATTAAAGGGAAAATATGCTAAAATATTTATATAAAAATAGAATGAAGATGAGATTAAAATATATATGAATTTCTACACCAAGACTTCAAAAGGAACAAGCCCCAACCTTAAAAAGAAAAAGAAAAAAGGTATTAAGTGAAATATCATAATGTATTACTTGTTGTTGTAAATGACAAGTTGATTAATATCGTTGTAAATGGTAAAGTTTACTTTGAATAATACAATCGTATATTTAGAACTCAAGGTAGAACTAATAATTAAGCCAAATAATCTTATACATGTTGATATACCCGCTCAATTGTATCAAACTATTGATTTATATTGGTAAACATTTTTTTATAAGATTTAAGAATACTTGTTATTTTTTTTAAATTTCTTGTTAATTTGACAATTGTGACATATTATAGCTGCATTCCGTTACCGCAGAACCGGGTGTGGCAAATTCTTTTGCGATGTTGGTACAAAAAAGAAAAAAACACAAATGAATTCCTTCACGTGTTTAGATCAGCAGGGCTCTCATGTTGAAAATATTAAATGCAGTCAATATTTTCAGATTGAAAATTTTGGAATCTGATAACTACTGTTCTTGCAACGTAGTTGTCATGTGCCTGTGAATCCATACCCGATACCTCCAATAAACAAATTAACGAATACAATAATAAGGGTCTTATTAAATCCTAGAATATATACTTTGCAGTGCTTGTGATTGTCACGAAATTATTGGCAGGATCGACTAGTAGTGATGCATTTTCTCTTTAGAGTGGAAAATTTTGAACCTACATATCTATATCAAAGGTGTAGAAAGGAGTAAAAGATGCTTTAGCACCGAATCCGTAGACAGGAAGCAGATAAAAACTCTATGTTATTGCCGTGATCATAAATTGATTGACCATATCAGCCACTTGACAATAAATTATCTCTCTCCCTTTTCACAATAATGTTACAAATTAAAGAAAAGGGTGAGAATGAAAATATTGTTTAAGGAGAATATTGTCTTCTTTTGCATGATTTGTAGCGAATTTGAAAACCATTTTCATCAACGACAATAATTGACAAAACAATAGTCACGTTCATACCAATAAGACATGGATCATCAACACTGCTCTTATTAAGCTACTCATTAATTATGACTTCTAATTCAAACACACTTTTTGACTATGATGGATTTTGCTTATCAGTGTCAAGGTTGATTGATCCATATCCATGTGCACATTTTGTGGTGAAGGAAGAACATGTTAAGCAAAGTGGACACTGGTTTTGTTAAGTGATGCAAATTTGGAAGGTTCAGTATTGGTAAGATGCGTGTAAGGGACAACCCTCCACATGAGAACCAGCCAATATCGGTGTACAGACTATAATGGACAATTATAATAAATGATTTCCCATTTTACAACCGTACAAGAGGTGTGTCTCCAAGAAAAAAGAAAAACAAGAGCTTATTTGAGGGATTCAAGGGACAGGGTTCTCTGTATCTGTCCTAAAGCTACTGCATCAACCAAAACCACAAATTTCCCATTTCCAAATTCCAGGCTAACACAGTGAAAAGTAGGAATAGAGAAAAATCATGAGACAGAAAGAAAGGAAATGCTTAAAATGTTGGTACTTGTTAGTGTATGTATCATTCAACATATCTTTGCTTAAATGACTATAAAACAAATGTTTATAATATGATAATAAGTATAGGTATCTCATATGTGTATATTTAATAGTATTTAATTATCTCATTATAACATGGAATCTCATCAATAATTTTTTATGATCTCTCTAAGAACCTTTTTTATACACTACACAGTCCCACAGCAACCAACTTTCTTTCTTCTCTCCCATCAATATTCACCTTTCCTCCCTCACACACTGTCTCATAGCTAGTTCTAGATATTACAGTTCCTTTGTTTTTAATGGATGAAAAGTGGAAGGTGTCAAAGAAGGAAGCAGGTTCAAGCACATCCACAAAGTCATTGTTCTCGAGGAGTTGCTCAACAAGAGGCCCTTCTTCAAACTCCCCTCTCTTGAGGAGCGTATCCCAAAAGAGTTCCTCCACTTCCAAAACCAACCTTCCTAGGAGCTTCTCTCAGAAGAACCCCTCCATTGGTCAGAAATGCACCAGCATAGCTAAGGAACACAAAGCCAGATTCTACATCATGAGGAGGTGTGTAGCCATGTTAGTTTGCTGGCACAAGCTGTAGGGCCCGATTGTCCACCTTTTGCACCACCATAGTATGATATTGTCCGCTTTGGGCCCAAGCCCGCACGGTTTTGTTTTTGGGCTCCTTCCCAAAAGGCCTCATACTATGTGGAATGGTGGACACTTATAAACTAGCCAATGTTCCTTCATTTTACCGATGTGGGACTTGGGATGAATCCCAACAAACCTCCCCTCAGACCAAGGACCACATGTCTCGTGATCTCCTCCCCTCAAGCGATAATCCGTCACCATCTTGTACCGCCGTTAACTCTACGGGACACGCCGCCTGAACACCACAATATCAGGAAGACTTTCGACACAAGGCACCAAGTTCGAATCTCCATCGCGAGGCACAACACTGAGGGTCTTCCCGCATCAAACCCAGACGAACCGTTGGCTCTGATACCACTTGTAGGGCCCGATTGTCCACCTTTTGCACCACCATAGTATGATATTGTCCGCTTTGGGCCCAAGCCCGCACGGTTTTGTTTTTGGGCTCCTTCCCAAAAGGCCTCATACTATGTGGAATGGTGGACACTTATAAACTAGCCAATGTTCCTTCATTTTACCGATGTGGGACTTGGGATGAATCCCAACACAAGCATGGTGATTCTTGAAGGAACCTCAGATCCTCTGTTCAGATTCTCATGAATATAGTAGCAAAATGGTGAAGGGATCTGGTTTTCTCTTTTTGAAATATATTCGTTTTGTAATTACCAATTACATAAGGTGAGTTATAAGATTGATTTACTCGTTTGCTTTAAATTTATTTGTGTGTCTATATATACAAACACATACACACTAAACCCCATAAGTTGACGTTGTGACTAGACTAACTACGTTCACACCTTGTAGGGATGATCTATGTTATAGGAAGTTCATATTTAATCTTTGTGATGTGCAAAAATTCGTTGGACCAACGAGAGTCACATACCATGAATGGGATTAGCCTTTAGCCCAGTTAAATGGTAAAAAAACACACACACACACTACACTCTCAAGTATAAATCAATCTTCACCCTCCAGGCAAAGCACTTCTAATATTGATTTTTTTGTTGTTGTTGAGATTATTGTTAAACAATGACTACTAAACTAAAACTATGCTTCACTTTTGGTTCAGGACCCTCAAAGCTTTCATGTGCTAAATCTCACTTCTGACTCTATGATTCTGTCATCTCTCTCCATATTTCTCTTTCACTATATTTGTGCTTTTAGAAGGAAAGGTTTGTTTACTTTATGGTAAAGCATAGGGATATTTAATTCAAGTGCTTCAACTCATCAATATTTAATGGTATTTGGATCTGCATTGAAAATGCAAGCCACATTCCTTCTTCGTTTTTCCCATAAAAAACAAATGTAACGGCTGACTCTTAGTTCAAAATGTTAAAAACTTAACAGACCTGAGTTTTGAAGTATCTTCTTTTTCTCCTTTTGGGGACTTCCCAAAGGGGAAATTTGAAATCTCACGTTAGATATCCAAAGAAGCTTTGGTGCAATTCATAATTTGACGATTGTATGATTGTAGAGTTGGAATCTTTCCTTTTCTTCAACCCATGCCGACTAATCGTAATTAGTACATCAACCATTAATTAGGCTTTACTTTGTAACACTTCACCAAACTGTAGCAAGTATAAGGGGAAATAAACTAATCACTTTAAATGTGAAGTGTAATGTTTTTAAGTTGGTGTCCGTTACTTTAGTATTTACATGAAATCTTATCACAAAATTTATTACTCAGTGTACCATGGCAAAAATTAGTGAGACGTAACCATTTGTCATCAACCATGAATATTGCTAGAGGCTACTAACCTTGGAGAAATACATGCAAGACAAATAAGCATCGATTATTACCGGTTACCCTTGAGACACTTTTTTCTGCTTTTTAGTCAACCTATTTCTATTATGGATATGTGAGACAAGCATGGATGCTGGAGTTATTCCAGATGGAAAGACCATCAACATCAATGAACTTTCTTATGCTGTGTTAATTTGGGATTACGCAAACACAAAAAAAACGCTTCCCATAAAGTTAAAGAGATTCCTAAGATCCCTGTCACAGAAACGACTTTAAAATGAAATTTGAGTTTCATTAAGAACAAGTTAAAGCAAGCATTAGATCATAAACCAACTTTACGCTACCGAAGACTTTTCAGTACAAATTGAATCCCCTCCAGCAATGATCTTTAGTCAAAATTCTAATAATACATTTACAATCTAATGGTCCACGCAAATCAAGTTAATAAAGTAATAAATGATCAATCTGGTTCTTGTTTTGGTTAATATAATTGTGGGATTAATGTAAAATTAGTCAATGACATTATGAGTTTATAAGGTTGGCCCATGATTACGAGTTTGATCAATTTGCTTTAAAATGGGTCAATTTTTTAGCTGCAGACAGAAAAGAAATCTGTTTAAAGAAATTGATACTTAGTAACTGATATCATTATCGGCAAAAATTGTAGAATAATATCAAGGGAAACGATCCCAAGTGAAAAAGCTTATCAGGAGAACAGCTGCGAGAGTGAATGTGGGAGTTGAACTTGGATTGGAGTTTGTACTTTAATTTTTTTTGAAGAATTTAAACATGAAATTTGTGGACTCTGTGGTTTGAACTTTGAATTCATTTCTTCTTTATAATTAATTACATTTTTTTTCTTCCAAAGATTTGTATAGAATATAATTCAATTTAATAAAAGACAATATTGAATGTGTACTAAATCATTCTTTAGATAATTTGGGCCCAGTATCACAAATTAAGCTAATGTGTTGGTCCAATAACCTAAGCTCAATAATAGGGAGGTTCTAGAAACCTATATCAAGAACATTCCGGTAGAGGGTAAACCCAATCAACACAACTGCAAAATACCGGATCACAATCCAAAGTCCATAAGAGATTCAACGATTTTTATAGGATTCATCCTATGAGGCATTTCTTATGTCTAGCTAGCTATGTAAGCGATTTGGTTGATCCATTGTTCTGTTACGAGAGTGAAAAGGAAAATGAATGATTGTCAACGTCAATGAGCTAGATCTTTTACGTTCGGAGTGTTCATTGATCGGATTTTTTTAAAATTTAAACTTAATTAATTAATTTTATAGTAGTGGATCAGTTAATCAATCTATTTTTTACAAAATGGATCAGTTTAATTTTTTTAAAATATGGATCAATTATTTTATAATTGAATTAATTCTAAACGGTATAATTATCCATTTTTTATTCATATATGGATTAATTTTTTTAAAAAATCAAATTGAACGGAATCAATCCACTTTGTAAAAATGAATTGAATAACTAAATTAATTTTGTAAAGTGGATCCGTTTAATTTTTTTTTAAAAAAAAATTAAATTTTTCAATACGGATCGGATCAATTATGAATTGATTTAGGTTAATTAATTTTTTTTTTGTACACTTCTACTCTATGAATATACCAACATACATTAAGTGAAGTAAATTTTCAAAAGATTATTTTTTTTAACAAGAAAGGTATATATTATTTTTTTAATCAATATATGATGTATTTTATGGAACATATATAGCTTTATTTATTTACTTTATATAAATTATATATATATATATATATACTTTATTATAAGCCTCCAAAATATAAAAAGTTCTTTCCAATAGTAACTGAAGTAACAAAACTAGCAAGCTTTCTTAAGTGAGAACAATCCAAGAGTTCTATATATATACATACATATATATATATATATATATATATATATATATAAGTCTAAAGCTAAAGTTCTACTGTTCTTATTCCTGTGCCGAACAAAAAGAACAAAGTGCTAAGTCAGAAAATAAGAGGAAATGAGAAGTATATATTATTTCAATCAAGGTAAATTTTAAAAGGGAAGTACATTGATAATCTGGATGGTATAACTCCAGCCACCCCTACTTTATTGGCACTAATAGAAAATTAGGTGGATGTATAGAAAAGCCATCCAGAACGTGTCAGATTGATAGAAAGAAAGAAAAAGTGAAATGGCAATGCTGATGACTCTTCACTCTGTCATAATAGGCAAGCCAAAATTCCGGAAATTGACTTAAAATTGGAAAATGAAAACCAAATTATGTGGGAAATAATGAAGGAAAAATTGGCCCCGAAGGTGGTGGTGCAGAAAATGATGATCAACACTTGGGAAGATCAGCTGGTGGAGGAGGCAACTTCTGATTAGGGAGCTTCCCATCCTCAACAATCCAAGCCATCCTCAATCCCCAACTTAGGTGCACGTCAAAGTGGCAGTGCATCAGCCAAACACCTGTTTCAGTCGCACACATTAAATTGAATAGCATGCATATCACATAATCATCACCCCAAAAATTATCTACAAAACTTCGATGCAATTTTGAAGTGTGAGTATTGCAATCAAAATTCCAGTTTTAACTCTTATATTATTGAAAATTTACATCATAAAAATGAAATTCCAGTTTTAATTTGAGAATAGCATAAAAAAGTAAGAAACTAAAGCTTTGTCGATTGTCCATGTTTAAACCAAAAGTTAATTTGAAGTCTTAAAACTGAGGAAGAGTCCAAGAGAGTGAAATAATGTTAGTAACATTCTCTTTAATACTCTCTTATTAATAATATTCTCTAATTAAAAATCATAAATTTTGATAAATCATATTATTAAAATAGATGACTCATTAAATGAGATGTTGTGATTTCTAATAAATTTTGATTAATAACATGGTAAATGATAGAAAGAGAGTGTTATATAGAGCATGTTACGCTATAGAGTATAAAGTGATGAAAATGAATAAAGGAAAGGAAACAATTGTGGGGTAGCTAGGAATGATATGGGATAATTGAATGTCACCTGGGTTGTCAGCAAGGAATCGGATTGCGACCCAACCACCAGAGGGCACACCAACAGTGTTCCTTTCAACGGGGTCAACCAGATTGAACTTTGGAGGGTCAGTGTTAGGATTGAAGTTCCCAGAGCCTTGACCCACAACATAGAAGTTATAGCCATGAAGGTGCAAAGGGTGGCTCTCAGCTCCCAAAATGCTAGTGTCCTGAAGCACCACTTGCACACTCGTGTTGAAGGGTATCACCACAGTCTTGGTTCCATTGCTGACCCTAGTGTTGTTCGGTGGGGTCCCCGTGTAGTTGAATGGCATGAGTGGCATAGCAGGGAAATCAGTGGTGTAAGAGCCATTATTATTAGCATGCCTGAAGAAATGTTGTTGAAGAAGTGCTATAGAAGGCAAGGCGAAAGATATGTTGTTCATTGAGGCTGCAAACTTTGAACTATTGTTTGGTCCTTGGCACGTTTGGTTTTTAGGGCAAGGACTTGTTCCAAGTCCAACCGTGAAGAAAAAACTCTTGTCAACTTTTTGAGGCACCTTCGCAGGGTACTTGGCACTGTTCAAGCTGAAAAATTTGCTACTGAAGTTGGCAACGTAGGAAGTGTCGTTGATGGCTGGAAGAGAGGGTTTCAAAGGGGGTGTGTTCACTGTGTTGAGTGGTTTCTTGTACTCTAGAATGCCAGCAACTGTGGAATTGTCGAAAGTACCCATGCCAGTGAAATATGGCCTTGCTAGCATGAAAAAGGTGGTGTTGGGGTACTCGGGTTTTGTCTTTAGCAAAACGTTTGAGGTTTGTCCTGGACCAATGACTATGATCTCAGACTCGAAAGGTTTGACATAACTAGCATCAGCTTCGACAGTTACAAGGGTGTGGTTTGCAATGCTGAAAAACAGTTCGTCATTGAGTGCAGCATTGATCAAACGAAGAAGATATGTCTTCCCTGGTTTCACCTTTAACCTGTACGTGTCTGTCGACCCTATACACCATGCAAAATCAAAACCAATTATTAATACTCACTAAGTAATTACTTAACAATTTAACCAAAAGCAAAATTTAGATCCAGTAGGCAATCTTAGTGCTCATCTCTCACCCGAATAAGAATTTTATATTAATAATATAAGTTAACATTTAATGAAAATTTTATTATTCATATTAGTGAGATGCGACTTTAATTCCGATGGATCTTTCGTATACATGTAAGTTTTGACATCCCTGCCTGCAGCTGTTAACATTATTCTCCTTTTATATATCCCTATTGCCTAGTCGATTTATTAGGTACAGTAGAAATGAAATTGAGACATATTATTTTTCTTTAAAAATAACTTTTTCTATGGGTCAAAATTAGTTAAAGTAGATTCAACAAAGCTGTTACCGTTATTGGAGCAATTGTAGAGGGGACCAGGAAGTCCGTTAATAGTGTAGGCATCAGAAACATTAGGGCCAGCCCCTGTCTGAAGGGCTTGTGCGATAACAGCCTCAGGATCTGCGTTCCACCACTCACCTATTTTTCAATCATATTAAAGCAATATATATCAGAAATCTTTTTTTTTTTTTTTCCAATTAATTATCCTTTTTTTTAAAATATAAACGGTTGTGTTAAAATTAGAAAAATGGGTATTCTATGTTGATGGTTTGTACCAAAGAGGATGGGAACTTCCTTGTAGGGTTTCCGAAAAGGGTAAGATTCGTTGCGCCTAGGGAGGAGGATTAGAGGTCCATAGAGAGTGGCTCTTAGCCATGAAAAGTGAGCATGCCAGAAGAGGGTTCCTCGTTGTCCAACAATGGTGAAGTTGTACACATAACTCTGACCAGTTTGAATGGGGCATTGAGTTATGTATGATGGACCATCTGCCCATCCACTTTGAAGCTGTCTCACTCCATGCCTGTTTTTGTTCTCATATCCAAACCATTATTGTCACACGTTAGTTTCTATCCTCACAATAATCCATTGCATGCATGAGAATATATATATATATATCTAAATATTTTTGGACAATGAATTAGTTTTTATAAAAATCTTTTATTTTTATTTTAAACATTTAAATTTATTTTAATTATTTTAGAATTTGTTTCTTTATTTTTACAACAAGATGATATCGATTTTGTATTATAATTTTTTTTTCTATAAATAAAAACTTCATAAATAACATTAGATTATATTCTTTATGATAAAAATATATTTTTGTAAAATAACTCATCAATATTTGATATAACATGATCATTATTTTGTTATATATGTAGGCTTGTCTTTGGGGCAAAGAATAACTAATGCAAAATGATTATTTAAGAAGATTAAAATCATACCAGTGTATGCTGACATTGTTGGGAACATGATTAACCACCTTAACCACAAGTCTGTCACCTTCTCTTGCAACAACTCGAGGCCCGGGGAACTTCCCGTTCACGGTAACTATGCCCTTCGAGTGGCACAGCCTCGTAACATTTCTCAACTTTATCTGTAAAAACAATAAGAAAATGATTCATAATTGAACTCTTTTTCTGCACAAACAACTTGGTATAAAGTTCAACACCATTAAGTGGTTAAGATTAACTCATTTCACTTTATGCCTCTCACTAGATACATTTATACGTGGCATGCATATATGTATATAATAATAATGCTTACATCAAACTTGTAGTGCCTTGTAACACTTGCATGCTTTGAAGTAGCGAGAACAAGTTCAGGAAAGGAGCAGAGGAAGGTTGTGGCAAAGAGGAATGCCACAAAAAGTGCTGATGATGAAGGAACAGTTGTGATCATTTTGTTATGCTGTCACCAATAGTGTTTCAGACCGAAAAGTGAGTTTGGATGATAAGAGGATTAGTCACAATGAACTGCATGCTAATTGCTAAATCACGGGTATATATAGAGACAAATACACTCTACAAATTAATGTTTGGTCGAATAGGTTTATCTGATCAGTGTGTCCATGTTTAAGAACGAAGCATACCAGAAGAAGATTGACTTTTACCTACTCTGTATGGACCCATTTTTCTTATACTTTGGAGTGTCACTAACGTTAATTTTACATATTTTTGTCTCAATTACGTGCCCCATTTCGTACTCCCCAATTACAAGTTTCTTTTCCATGTGCACCCAACGTCTGATATTATTATTATTACTTTTTTCATGCTAGTGTTTTACAAAAATGGTCTCCTATAAAGTTTGGAAAATATGTATTTAACTGAAAAGTGAAAATCATTGACAAGAGTAAATTGAATAACATGGGTCATACCATATTAATAATGTGTCTGGACTTGTGCTTAGACAAGATAAATCAATTCCAAAAAGTAAACGTGTCGTTATTATTATGTTATTGTGCCCAAAAAACAAATGCAAACTTGGTTTTTATAAGGAGCAATAATTAATTTCCGGGTCAAGAAGTTTATGTTGAGTGTAAAACCAATTTTATGTATATAATTTATGTTTGTAAACTTAAGTACGTCCATACTTTATTTGAAATAAATATAATGCAAGTACAAACATATTAAAGTGTGTTTAGATTTCCACTAAAAATTATTGTACCATGATTTGAGATTTGCTCGAATCATAATTTTGGAATTCCTACTTGCAATTGAAACACACTAGATAACTAGCTAATGAGTTTGAGAATAGTAAAATCAAATCAGAATATATTTCAAGCTTTACATTGTTAATTGACGGAATTTGTGGGAACTACATATGATTGACAAAATGAAAACTTAGAGGGAGGTATTTTTCTTGATAAATTTACAATTTGATAAAAGGATAATCTGGGGGTTGAAGCATTTCGACGTAGTTAAACTCGTTAATATGAAGAAAAGTAGTAAGAATACGGCATTTTCAAATCAACCGTTAAGGCTTGCTAACTAAGCCACACTAGATTGCCACACTCATAATTCCCAAACACTTCAGCTCAAGTCACATTAATCATCTCGTTTTCACCTAAGGCTTAATTGGGTGTGCCTGGTTGGTGATGGCACACTTCTCAACTAAACAGTACCGTAAGTAAGTGAGTTAGAGCCAAAAAGAAGGAGAAGGACGTTTGATCCACCTTTCCTTTTAGCCACGAAAATTAAACAAAGGAACAATATGTCAATCAAGCAGAAACTAGGTTTACGGGTTAATTAAGTCTAGGATCAACGTCTCTATCATAGGCTTAATCACTAAGATAGAAAGATTAATTACTAAGCCAAAATTAATAATCAAAGCAACATTGACAACAATCTACAAACTTTGATACAAATTCTGCTTTAGAGATACAATATCTCTTCTGGGGACCCACAGAACTACCTTCTATTAGCAAATAACTGAACTTGTATTTACCATATTACTGTCTAATTTAATTAGTTACCGTGACGCTTAGAAATGAAGAAAGTCAAAATTCAATTAACTCGAGCAACGACGAACATTTTGATGAGTTTGACTCTTTATATTGTGTATATATCACACACGCAAGCACAATGAAATTAGGCACTGCATTTATTTATAGTTTCCATCCAGAAAGGCATGCAAGGAAATTGAAGCATGCTACGAAAGTTCTCTACTAGTATATGTATTTTTTGAAGAGTCAATGAAATTAGGCACTGCATTTATTTATTTTATTTAAGATGATCCCAAATATGGAATTTGACAATTTGTACCGCTTACAAGATTACAGCATTAAAAGCCTGGTAATAGTAAAAAAAGGAATGCCAACTATCAGATGCCTTACGTGCAATCCTCTCTATTTGACAGTTGCCCCATACTTATTTTCTTGCCCTACTTAAATTTTTTTATGATATACCCATATATAGAAGATAGCCACCCTTATCTTCATTCTCTCCACCTTTTTAGCTACCAAAAAATTTATTTCATAAGAAAATATATATAAAATTAAACAATATCGATATCTTTTATTATTTATTACATCATACTATAATTATATATTAACTGTAATTTTTTTAAGAATTAGATTATAATTTCATATATGTATTTATGTCAAATTTTATTAAAATTAAATAATTTAAAGGTAATTAAATTATTTATATTTTAATATATTTTAAAATATATATTATATTAATTTTGATATATATATATATGTATATATATATAATCACTTTATATAAAAT